GAATCGTCCTCGGGGAACAATTCCGAGGATGAGTGGCTCTTATACACATCTAGATGTGTATAAGAGACAGCCTTAACACGGCTCAGACGCCCCATGCAGGCTAATATCTGAAGGGTCCTCACAGCCATTTAGCGCAATCCCTCCCCAAAATCAAGGCAGGCAGCGCATATGAAGTAGAGCACGAGCTGGCCGAATATATACTCAAGATTCGAGTTCAGGTCTGTGTTTCAGCAGTTATGGGTTGCTCGCGTAGCTAGGCCCTGTTGCGCGTGACTCTTAGGGCTTGGCTGCACTACTCACGAAATGTGCAAAATTAGCATGAATTTTCTGCAGAACGTGGAATAATACGCCACCATATGTTTTGTCTTTTGTGCATTGGTGAGTAGAGGCCCTTAGGGGATGCCAGCTCTTTCTTCTCAGGAGCATCACTCTGTCTTAGCGTGAGGAGGAGGTGCCTGTAGCTTTGCTATGGTTTTTTTTTGCGCCTTGACGTTCTATTTTTCGAGTATAAAGTTCGGGATTTTTTCACATACTAAGCTATGGTAACACGGCTTTGTGACTATGCGTATGGTCAGGTTTTTCCTCTGACTTTTCTGCAACTTCTCATCATCCTTAGGGCCACTGCAGGTATTCCTAAGAAAAGAAAAATGAGAAAAGAAAAGAAAAACGAGAAAAGAAAAGAAAACGAGAGAAGAAAAGAATAACGAGAAAACAGAGAAATAGTGACCCATAACCGAGATGCAGAGACCTTAATTCGAGTCCAGACTATATATTCTCTGCCTACGCTCACAAAGTACAAGTTTGAATTGTACCTGTTCATCCGTATGGTCCTAGCTAGTACGCTGTAGGGATCCTGCGGAAAAGAGGCTGGCCCCAACTAGGACATGAATATTCAGGAGCGAGGGGAATGTTTGGCCACCCCACACTGTCCTTTCAACTTTTTTTATTTTTTTTTTTTATTTTTTATTTTTAATGTGCTGCTGCAAGTATGAAAACAAACAAACGAACAAAGAAAACCAAACCCCCTCGTAGACTTTCCGGGCCGTCTGGATCGTCGGTGAGGGTGGTAAAAAATAAGGCACTGTTTTATTTGGGCTGCCCAGGGCATGAACAAACGCCCCGGACCACCCAAAACTTTTTTGGCCATTGGGTTGGGGCCCTCACATTCGGACCAAGATCCGGACCCGGAACCCGGACCACGGACAGTCCGGATCCCTGTCCGGTGGTCCGGATCGTAGCCATGGTATAGGATTATACACTGTGCTTTGTGGTTTGAGGCTATAAGTGCAGCAAATCCGTGAAGCGTCTGTGTTGGGTTGTGCATTTGACCACTGGAGGTTGACAGAACGAATCCTTCCTTCCCTCCTGTGTGTGTTTCCTGAAAACTACTCCCACCTCACTTTCTTGTAGACTTAATATTGACCACAGATCCCTCAAACCCTTTGACCCCCCGGACTTGAAGTCCAAACCCTAAACCCTAAACCCTAAACTTCAGATACTGTGGATCCTCCACTTCCTTAACGCTACCCCCCTGTTACCAGACACTTGACTGACTATTCATGTTTGTTCTGGTCCCCATCACTCCCAATGTCCTGCTTGTCCCATTGTGATGGGGGGGAGCACCCTGGCCGGCTCATTAAGGGAGGGGGGCGGGCAAGGAAATAGGAGGAATAGGCAGAAACGGTGTTTTAGCGGAAAGGGGAGGAAGGAGGGATAGTTTCCGGGTATGGGGATGGAGGGGGAGGGGGAAGGGGGGGGGGGGGGGGAAGGGGGGGACTGGATGGGGAAGGATAAGGGGATCAAACCAAGGGGGGGAGCAGAGGAGGGGATTGGGGCGACGGGGGAGAGGGCATGGGGATGGAAGTCTGATTGTGGGTGTTATCAGGGAGTTGTGGGTTTAGGTTTTCAGGAATCTGTAGAAAGTTCGTAGGTTGGTGATGCACTGTGAAATGGTGTTGGGGCAGGAATTCCCATTGGCTCTCGGTTGCCAGCAATGGTTGCCAATGTAGGTTATGACTCCCATCGATAAGATAGAGCCTGGAATTCGGGTCCAGCCATGTGGTGGAGAAGTTTTCGATAAGCCGTGAACTCTTGGCATTATCCATCTCCTGTTGCAGTCGGGTTTGCAAGCCTTTCCAGGCATCGTGTGTTTGGACTGTAATAAGGTGACTTATTTCAGCTTTGGCTTGCTGAAACCCGAACAGATGTTGGCTTCTTTCGTGTGAACACCTCATTCTCCGGGCTGCCATAAGAAGGGTGAGGCGTATGTATTGGAATAGATTGAGTGCAAATGGTGACCATTGTCCTCCTTCTGTGGTGACGCCAAAAAGGAGGGACTGCAGGTTCCAAGGAAAGTGGTGGCCTGTAAGATAGTGCCAGGCTGCATCCCACCATCGCCAAAGACGGGTCACCATTGGGCGATTAAGGAGACAATGTTCCAGTGTAGCAAGTTTTCTAGGAGGGGTATCTATGCAGTAAGAGCACAACGGGGATAAAAGTCCTTTTTGCTCTAAGTCTGTCGTGTCTTTCAGCCAATCTGTAGTCGGCATACATCTGTGGATGATCGGCCATGGAAGAGCTCTATGATTAGTTAGTTTAATGTGGGAGAAGGACCCCCATCTGAGGAAGCTGAGGTCCTTTTTTTTTAGTGAAGAGTCCCTCTCCCATCTACTTAGGATGCCTTCCATGACCGGGACTGAAGGACGTTCCGCTCTATATCAATTTTTAACTGAGTATTGTCATGGTGTGAATGTTGTCTCTTTCCCCAATCTCCATTCCCACTCCACCGGGTCGAAAGGGAGATGAGACAGGGGGGTGGAGGCTTCATATACATAACATATGACCACCTCGCACCTATCCTACACATTCAACCAAGGTTGTCAATGCAAAGCTATAGTAAAGGTGCACGGGGTCTTACCGTCTAGCCGCTGGTACTCCGCATCTTCACGGAGAATTCAATTTCATTGAGCCCATGTTGGAGACAGGGGGGCAGTCGTTACACCATTCGTGCAGGTCGCTACTTATGAGACACAATTGTGTTAATTGAAATAAACTTCGAACATCATTTCAACCGAGGTCTTCTTCCTTCGTGTCGCCACGAAGTTCAGACTATGCCATCTTTGTCTTCCACACCGCAAATCCTAAGGAAGGCAGAATCTGATGCATCTCCAAGTTGGCGTTGTTTGTTGAGGTTTGGCTGCCGATGCACAGTGGACCACCTTGCCCCTGTTGGGTCCGGGCAGAAGGCTTCAAGATCCAGCCAAGCTTGTGTCGTCTGGTGAACCCTATATATGGGTATGGGAAGGGGGAGGGAATCCATATGAACAACCCAGTCTCTCTTTGGGGCGGATGGACCCTCCTTTAAAGCTATGACCCAGGCTAGTGGGATCACCTCCTGCAATTCATACCAGTCTTGGAGAAGGTTAGGGATGGGGCTAACTCTAGCAACCAGGGCTTCTGCAGCGATCCATGTGGCGCTCGTGTCATCCCATATGTCTCCTATTGTATAGATGTCCCTTTTTACCCACTTCCTCCACTTAGAATCGCAGTAGAGGGAGAGGGTATGACCCTGAGGGTCTAAAATTTGCAGGTGGCCATAAAGGGGCTGCCGCCAGATCTCGTGCCATCTCAGAGGGGTTGACTTTGGTAGAGGGTCATGATCTCTCCAAAGCCTTAACAAATCAGACCACAGAGGATCAGTCCTGATGTCCCATTTTGCCTCCCCAGTCGGCGTTGTGTCTGTATCCCTCCTAGGCTAAGCTGGAATGGTTCATGCCTGATTTGTCACCCACCGGAAAGGATGCAGTGGATGGTGGGGGCATGAGGGGGGAGCCAGACAAGCTATCTGAATGTGTGCATAGGGAGCCCATGGTATATCGTTTCTCAACAGCAACCTAATTAAAATTTTTAAGATAAGGGCTTTGATTTGCAGGCCCGGGTCTCTGACACCTAACCCTCCCCTGGACCTGGGCTGGATCAAGATGTCCCAAGCCTGCCTCTTGATACACGAGGCGTTCTCATGATCATTCTTCCATAAGTAAGTCGCTGCAACAAGTTTCAGTTTTTGCAGCTGCTTTTGGGTGAGTGACCATAGGGAGGTGAATATCGCATTGTTGAGAACAAGGGCCCTTCCAACCAGCGATGTCGCTTTACCGTCCCAACGTGATATTCGTTGGAGGGCTAAGTGCACCAGCATGTCACCGTGATCCAGGGGAGGGCCCAGAGCTGTCAGGTTCACCCCTAGTACTCTAATCGCCACCTCTCGATTCCTTCATGCCACCAGCGGGGCCATTGGAGTACTTCCTGTATTGGGTGTAGCCACCACCCTTCTGTCTTTGTTCCCCAATTCACCTTGATGTCCACTGCCACCTCAAACAAGTGAATTTTAACTGCAGTAGTAGGTTGTCAAGAACTAACTTTCTTTGCCTCGCAATTTGTATTGAGAGTTTTTTAACCCTCTCCCGTACTACCCGTAGTTGTGAGACTCCATTGTTGAAACATCGGACAATCGAACCTCCCTCCAACTTTTGAGTTGACCAGTACTTCCAAAAAAATTTTACGTGATTGTTCAGGGTAGGTAGTTGAAGGAGGGATGTGTTAAATTTGAAATATCAGGGGCCCCTGATCACATGTGTGTGAAAAGAGAGACTCATAGCAATCATTCCGTGGTCAAAGGATTTGCAAGGGAAGAAGGGTAGGATGTCCGCCATTTTTTTATTTTTTTTTTAATCTGAACTTCGTATACGGGAAACCTACTTAACGAGGTCATAAGAGCATCCCCGGTAAGTAGGCCCCGTCGTCGAAGGCTCCATCTATTGATGGGGAGCTACACCTGCTGGAAATCGGGTCCAACTTCCTTGTACAATGATGAAAATGTATGTGTTGGAAATCAGGTCCAGCATCCGTGTGCAATAGTGTGAATATGTGTGCCGGAAAACGGGTCTAACGTCCCTATCCATCTAGTCTATAGAGTCTCCAAAACAAACTGAGGCATCAATCCAATCAATGGAAACCCTAACCATGACGTGATGTGTATTACAATGAAGTGATTTGCATCTGCTGGAAATCGGGTCCAGTGTCCCTATATCGTGTTGTGTAACTATGTCAAACAGTCAGAAACTTATCTATATATGTCCTTATTCTATATCTATCAGACTCTAATCACGAAACCCTAAGCACAATATATTGTATATGATCTTTTATCAATCAAGCCTAAAAGCAAAACTCTGTCAAGGATGAGCGGTGTATAGTTTGGACGCCAAGTCCAGTATCCAATATGCATTATCGTGTGAACTGTCAGGGGGCATCGATTAGTTCCCTACGCAGGGAAGGAATAACCTTCTGCTACCTAACCCCTAAACAGCCCACCGCCAACCAACAAGACGATCAACCCCCCATTGATAATTGGTATTGCAGGCCGGGCAGCATCAATCACCCCCAGCTACCCTACCCCTATCCTCTTCCAAACCACAAGGAAAATCTACGTATCGAGGTCGGATGGAGGAAAAGTAGTAAATCGCTTCTCTATATCAACCCCATATCCCACCACATCTGCTTGCAACGTCGCTCCCATCACGCTGATGATAATCTCAAATGCCCGGATGTCGCTTCCTACCCCGCTGCTCCCTTGGTCGTTGCCACCGCCGTCGTCGTCATCACTATCGTTGAGAGGGGGGGAAATAGCAACCCCTTTTTCATACCAACCACAATCTCCCCTTCGTCCGCTTTCGGCATCTCCCTGGACCTCATCCTGTCGCTGATGATCGCATCTGTACGGGCACCGCTGTCAACCCCGCTGCTTCTGAAGTCGTCACTGCCATTGTCGTCGTCGTTGTTGTTGATATTATCGTCGTCGTTGTTGTTGTTGTTGTTGTTGTTGTTGTTGATGTTTCCACCGTTGTTTTTCAAGTTGTTGTTTGTGTTATCGCCGCTGTTAGCATTGTTGTTGCTGTTGTTGTCGCACTCATTTACTAATGTTGTTAATGGTCTTGATGTTAAAGTTGTTACTTATATTGGCATGTCCGCGTCCTCACGATCAATAACGCCCTCCAACCGGTCTTCCAGAAGAGCATACAGATCGCGACCCTCATTGAAGAGGGTCTTGCAGACAGACATGATGCCATTTGCTCTCCTCCAATCGATGCAGACGTCAACCCGAGGATCCGGCCCCTCCTCCAGCTCCCAGATTATCCCCAGCATGTCCTCACTTTTCTCCTTCAGCCAACCAGCCAGAGAAATCGCTCCGCCTTCGACCTTTGGCTCCATTTGCAGCCGTAAAGACATGTCCCTCACAATCTTTTGTAGCCATATGCGTTCGTTCTCCAAGGTCATCAACCATTCGTTTTCTCCAATATATAGCTCCCTATCCAAAATCTCATCCATGGTAGTCATGGCTCGCTCAAAGAACCGCGCTGCTTTTGTGTAGTAACCTCCAATCAATCACGGCTGGCGCTTCCCCTCATCACGCGTCATGAGGCATCCACGTCACCAAACGACAGGTGGCAAGTGGCAAGCTGAAAGTCACGGCCACGTGTCGGGCGAGTGAACAGGCCCAACGGCCTGGAGGGTCTCTCCTCTCCAGCACGCTGGTCAAGCAGGGTGCGGCCGGGCCTCGCCGGTCGGCCGACGTTAGGGCGCTAGCGCTAGCGCGGTTCCCCATTTTGTTGTTGTTGTCAAAATCACCCACTCTCTCGCCGGTCAGCTGGCGTTAGGGCCGCTTCCTGCTTGTTTTTAATGTGAGGATGTCCGCCATCGTAAGGAGGTCGGTGAGGTCATCTGAGAGGAGGCCTAGGCCTATCCTTGAATTAGAAAGTCTTGCCTCCCCTCTCGATCTCACACATGTGTAAGCCTTCGTGTTAGGATGAAGGTGTCGATACGAATCCAGCAAACCCACTTCAGTCATCATGTGAGCTAGTGCAATGTTGTCACGTCCACCCTCCCTACTCCTGTTTTGGGGGCTTGATAAGCATGATGACGATGATGATCTCATATCCACGGAGGGGTCTAAAGTTGTATTAAAGTCACCAATCATGACAATAGGGAGGTCTTTCGGGAGGGTCTGAAGCAGGTTGATGAAAAAGTGGGATCTCTGTCCAGGGGCATTAGGGGCATAAATGCAAGCCAAACAGATTTCCTCTTCCCCAACCCAGGCCCTTAGCCAGACCCATCTTCCTTCAGATTGGTCCCATTGTGCATGCACTACTGTAAGCCTCGTGGAAGGGGGTAGCCAGATGGCTACCTCTGTTGATCCCACTGATCTAGCCGGTGCTGCAAATGTCGTGTGAGGCCAGATTTGGTGGGCCCGAGCTCGGTAGGGAATGGAGTCTATGAGGTGTGTTTCTTGGACTCCAATTGCATCAGGCCATCTACCCCCCATATCTCAAGTTATCATCTTCCAGAGAGCGTCGGATTTGTGATCATTTGGTTGAGTCAGGCCATTGACATTGATAAACTGGATGTCCAAGTCAGCCTCCAATTGTTTTTTGGCCCATGGTGGTTGGCGGCAGAGTGTCGGGGGAGGACAAGGTTGACTCGGGTAGGCAGGGTTGTTCAACGGTGGAGGTTGCCTGTGTCCATCATTATCCCCACGGGGATTATTCTGGTTCCCTTGCTGTCCTCCCTGCACCCGCTGGATTAGTGATACCTGGGACTGCGGTCGGGATTGTGGTGATTCTGAGTATGAGCAATAATGTGACCTGCAGTTTTGGTTGGCTGACATCCATGTGTTGTGATGATCTAATCGGTAATCGGAGCCCCAATATCGGTAATCGGAGCCCCAATATCGGTAATCGGACCCCCAATAGGCTTTTGATGAACGAGGGGTCATCCCACATCCTACTGGCATCCAAGGCATCTTCCTCGAGCAGCCTCGGCAAGAACAACAAGAGTGGCTTATAGATTTTGCATGCGGCCAAGTCGAGGGGCGTTATTGCTGCATTGCTAGCTTGGTGGATCTTGGTGTGTGTTTGTAAAGACAACAGAGATAAGGGACCCATATGCAATTGACAGATCAAGTGTACCTACGTATATTCACGCATAACCACATGGGTATAAGCCCACGTACACCCTTGTATACCCACGTATACCCTTCTGTACCCACGTACACCCATGTATACCCACATATATCAATGTGGGCATAAACCCACATATACCCACTATACCCACGTAGATACCCCACTTATACTCACATACACTTACGTGCCACTGAGTATAAACCCACACACACCCCATGCATACCCACATATACCCACGTGGGTATAAGCCCACACATACCCATGTATATCCGTGTATACCCATGAGGGTATAAATGCACACATACCCACATGGGTATAAACCCACATATACCCATGAACACCCACCACGACATAGGTATGAATCCAGGTATACCAATGTAAATCCATGTGTACCCATGTGGGTATAAACTCATACACCCCTATATATATATCCATGTGTACCCATATATACCTACGTGGGTATGGACCCCATATACCCACATATACCCACATATACGCATAAATACGCACGAACGCATAAACCCACGTCTACCCACATATACACACGTATACCCATGTAGGTGTGAACCCACATATACCAACCTATACCCACATATACCCACATATACCCACATATGCCCACGTATACCCACATATACCCACATATACCCACATATACCCGTGTATACCCACGTGGGTATAAACCTTCGTAACTTCATCGTTGGTGGCCCATTTTGATGGTAAGAATGCAGCGGCACCCGAAGTAATCAGGATATTATCTGTCATTTTCCTTAAATTTCCTATTTCGTTCTTTTGTTTTCTTTTTATCAGGGTGGGTGGGAGGGGCAGAGGATCATGGTTACACATTTGCCAGTAGCTGCTCCTCCCTTTTCATCGGCCCCACCCCATCCTTGACCACCATGGTTGGGGCGGGTGTCAACATGCATCCCCTCTGATGGTGGCTGGAGGGAGACAACAAAGCTATGTTCGGACTCTGGAGGGGTCCACTGTATAAGCCTTAGGAGTAGTGGTAGGTAGGTAGTCAAGGTGAATTGCAAGAATTTGAAAGATCATGAAATATTTGAGAGAAGAATATAGCGTAGTTTTTAACTTTTTATGGTATAAAAAAATATAAAAGAATAAAAACCCACCTTTTCCACAGTTATCTTTGTAGTTACTGTGGATGGCGTGTGGCCCAGTGGTTAGGGCACCGGTCGGACATGCCCATTGTCGCTTAAACCACCAGTACTTGGCCAGCTATCGGCCGCGGAAAAAAATAGAGTAGAAACGTTTGTAGTTGGATGAATTTGGGTGCTCCTGTAGTGGCCCGTACGTTTCCTAAAATCGCGTAGCGTTAACGGGCACGACTTTAGGAAGTACTGGTGGTTTATTTATTATTATTATTATTTTTTTTATTTTTTTTTTTTCAGAACTTCATATACGGGAAAACCCACTTAACGAGGTGATAAGAGCAGGCCCATTAAGTGGGTCCCAATGTTGAAGGCTCCATCTATTGGTGGGGAGCTACACCTGCTGGAAATCGGGTTCAGCGTCCTTGTACAATAACATGTGTCAGCTGGAAATCGGGTCTCGCGTCCCTTATACAATGATGTGAAATGTTCCTTAAGTTTGAATATTCCCCATAGAGCAAAAGGCATTGATTACTTCCCAGGAGAAGGGAAGGATTGACCTCCTACGTACATGATGAAAACCTAAGTAAAAAAATATCTCCATCAAACACGCCAACAGCCAAAACACACCCATGCACACAACCCTAAACAACCTACCCCTACATCTCATCATGATCGGGGATTGAGGGCCGGACAACCCCAATCAATGAAGGGTTGTCATTTATCCCACTCCCACCCGCTGTGAAGCGAAGATAAGCGGAACAACAGGGAGAGATACCACGCACAGTGGGGGGAAGGTAGTAGTGGTAGGCATTGTTGTTGATGTTGTTGTTGTTGTTGTTGCCGCCGTTGTCGTCATCTCTGCCGTTGTTTTGTTATTGTTGTTGTTCTTGATGTTGTTCAAGTTGTTGTTGTCGCTGTCGTTATTGTTGTCGTACTTGTTATTTGTGGTTGTGTTGCTGCCACTATTGTCATTGTCGTCGCCAACACTGCAGGCGCAGCGATCGATGATGTTGTTTTTGTGAAGAGTATTGGCGTTGTGACCTTCGTTGTCTTCGCAACCGCCGATATCACCGGTGTCAATGTTGTTGTCGTTGTTGTTGTTGTTGTTGTTGTTGTTGTTGTTGTTGTTGATCTTGATGTTAACGTTGTTACCTCTGTTGCCACGTGCGCCTCCTCACCATCAATATCGCCCTCCAACCGGTCCTCCAGAAGAGCACACAGATCGCAACCCCCATTGAAGAGGGTTTTGCAGACAGACATGATGCCATCTGCCCTCCTCCAATTGATGCAGACGTCAAGGCGGGGATCCGGCCCCTCCTCCAGCTCCCAGATGATCTCCAACATGTCCTCACTTTTATCCTTCAGCCAACCAGCCAGAGGAATTGCTCCCTCTTCGACCTCTAGCTCTGCTTGCAGCCGCAAAGACATGTCCCTCACAATCTCCTGTAACCATCTCCATCCTTTCTCCAAGGTAATCAGCCATCCGTTCGCTCCAAGCTGTAGCTCTCTCTCCAAAAGCTCCTCCATGACAACCATGGTTCGCTCAAAGAACTGCGCCGCTATTGTACAGTAACCTCCAATCAATCACGGGTTGGCGCTTCCCCTATTCACGCGTCACGGGGCGTCCGCGCCACCAAACGACAGGTGGCACGTGGCAAGCTGAAAGCCACGGCCACGTGTCAGGCGCGTACACAGGCCCAGCGGCCTGGGGGGGCCACCTCTCCAGGGCGCTGGTCAAGCCGGGTGCGGTCAGGCCTCGCTGGTCGGCCAGCGTTAGGGTGCTAGCGCTAGCGCAGTTCGATCTTGTCGCTTAAAACCCCGCATCCATGCGCATGGACACTGGCGGACGTTTACATAATGTATACCCATCTGCAACCCCCCCTGGGCTTACGCAGGTAAGCTATTACAGATGCTGCTTGCGCACCACCCAGGGGTCTTAGTCCATGGTTGTTGTATGTTGGGTATGGGCTGTGAGATGTTTGCCTGGTGCTCTTGGTTCTAGTGGTTCTTTGCGTGCTTACATACTTGGGGATGATTGTTCAGGTGCCTTCCGGTCCGATATTGCGCACAAATCATTCAGTTTCCACAGTAGCTCAGTAGCTTCGATAGTAGATTGCATGGATGAGGTCGTGTGTTCAAGCTCACATAGTGGGATGCACGACCAAGAGACCTACACACCGCCCAGAGAATCAGGAACGGTTGATGAGAATGAGGCTCCGTACAGACTGTGGTCCGTGTTGCTAGGTTTCTTGGGGCAAGATAAGAGTAGGGGGACCCGTTGCTAGCTGGAGATCTGGGTGGTACTATTGTTAGTTGTCGATAACGCGATACGTTGGCTCGGTAAGTTTGTTAAAAAACTGGATCGACTTGTATGAGAAGCATGGTATCGAATTTGTGGATTTGGCGGACTGTGTGTACGTGGCTATCTCGCGGTACTGTAAGCACGTCTACATTGGAAAAACTACACATAGCGTGTCGATCAGGTGGAAATAACATCTATACGTTTGTCGTAAGCGCACGCAGTCCCATTTCCACAGATGGCTTGGTGGGTTTGGTCACGGTAACTACTGCCTGATACCAGTTGACGTACTTGGGGGTGTTGACCTTACTAAGCTAGAGCTAGGGTATATCCGGCGATGAAGCCTGAAAGTCTGAAGTAGGTGTACGATTACCAAAATGTGCCTTTGTACTTAGTAATCTTTGAATTACCTTTTCTGAATTGAACATAGTTTGATTGAATACTTCGGGAACAAAGAAGACCAGGGGTAAAAGACATCGCCCTAATAAACCAGGAAGGAAGGAAAGAGCAAGGGGGAAGGGCGTCTCTAAGTAGAAGGGAGAGCACTGGAAGGTAGCACCAATTAAGTTCCAGACCAAAGGTAGTTCGGAGTGGGGGGTTGACTTTTACCGCTTGTTTGACGCCGGGAAGACTGAGGGCAAGCTACTGATCCATGTTAGTACAGGAGGAGGCAACGTGTGGTTCCCTAGATGGCGGAGGTTGGTTAAGACGTTCGGAGAATCAAAACTTAGTGTTGGGTCGGATCAGTTGCGCTTGAAGAATTGAAGGAAGCAATTGGAGAAGGGCGGGGATTTTTCTATTACGTACATTTGCAAGTGGCAGCCGCGTTGTGCCTTTTTGAAGGGGTTGTTGATTCAGATTCTGAAAAATCCAAGGAAATTGAGTTTGTTGAAGGGATGGAGTATGAAATCCTGCCTGCGTATCTATAGCGTGATCAAGGATTTTTCTCGTAAATCGACTAGGAAGTACCTTCCTCGGGCGGTTTCTTGTCTAGTTCGTGAAAGCTTTGGACTAAGTCTTGTTGTTGATCTTACCTTTAAGATTAAGTACGATGATCGTATTCGCGTCTGTGAAGTCTGTAAGGTAGTGAATGATGCCTTGATGAAGAGCGACTTGCCGGTGTGTTTTTTGCACAGAGCACAGAAGAAGGTACGCATCGTAGAGACGAAAAATCCCACGATTGCGGAGATGTTGCACAATCAGCGTTCGTATTCGAAACGCAATGTGTTGACCTGTACATGTACACGAATGCCTTTCCCGAAGGAGGAAGGCCACGTGACCTTTCGTCTGCGTGATTTACCGTAAGTATCACCACTCTTGGCCAATGCTAATAATCTACCTCATGCTAGGACGCAGAGGAGGATTGAGAGTCTGTGCCAGAAACTATTCCAAGGTTTTCAAGGGTGGAGTAATATCAGAGGCGATCCACCTCGTTTTGATCAAGCAAGCGTGAAGCAATGTGTGATGGACGATGGTACCAGGGGCACGGTTCATGGAGTGACACTGGAGGAGGTAGAGGCCTTGAAGAGACGCCTGAAAGGCCTGGTGGTAACATCAGTTGATAGGAACTCTGGGGAAACGGTAGTGATGTGTCCTAGCGTGTACTATAGTGTTATGTTGAGCTTGTTTGTGCTGAATGAGGGGTATAGGATTGTGGAGGATACGCAAGCGTGCGTCATTCGTGGGATGGTGGAAGATGTGGCCGCAGCTAAGCTTGGTAAGTTTGCTCGGGTGGATAAGAAGGGTAGCTTCGGGGACGCGTACGTGATACCCAAGCACAAAGACTTGGGTAAATTTCGTCCCATTTGCCCATCCTTTGTTGATCCTTTGGGAAAGACTGGGAAACTGGTGTCTAAAGGGTTGAATCATCTGCTATATACAATCCCAAGCTATTGGCACTTCAACTTGCGTTCGGTCTCTAATCTGGTGACTGAGCTGGATAAGGGCAATCGTAAGTTAGGACGCTTGGGAGGCGGTTATACTACGACGGCATATTCGTTTGATATTAAGGAAATGTTCACGAAGTTGTCGCACAGCGATATTATCGACGCTGTTGATTGGCTGATTGATTGGCACAAGTCTAAGGATCGTGATTTGGTAAGGGTGAATACCAAGGGGAAGGGGGCTAGTTTTGGAATGACTACGGGAGCTGATCACTGGGTTTGCCTGGATCTGGAAGATATTCGATCGTTCGTACGGGTGGATATGCGCAATACATATTTTTTTGCCACTGGGGTATTGCTGAAACAGGAGGTGGGCATCCCTATGGGGAAAAGCACAAGCCCACCTCTCGCATGTATTCTGTGCGCATATTCTGAGTACAGATTGATCAGTGGTTTGGGACGCCAGGCCAGGTGTCTGTTTGCAACTCGCCTGATGGATGACGTCTTGCTCACATTGGCTTGGAGAGATGAAACCAGCAAGGATACCCTGCTACGAGCATTCTGCAACTGTTACCCGGAGGGATTGGTGTCAGAACGCACCAACACAGGTAATGGAATTTTGGACTTTTTGAGCTGCAAGATCGTAGCGAGGCCTGAGTATCGGATGCTGAGTTGCGTGCAAGTATCAAAGAATGATAGTTGCACTTGGACATAGCGGTCGCTCGTGTACAAAAATGGTAAATCTTACCTTTCCTGGGGTGACAAAAGGCAGAAGGGTGCGGTGATCACCGATTATCTGCACCGGATTGATAAGAATACCTCAATCAAATCGGAAATCCCCATGCGAGTGCTGACTCTACAAAGAGAGCTTGGTAAGAAAGACTTCCCAGGCGATTTTTTTGAAAGGGGACTGCGTCGTTTCACAATGGGAAGGGATAAGATATGAGCTGCCACATTGCGGTTCATCTGTGATTAGGCTAAGAACTGACTGTGTAAGCTGTGTTCGTTCTTTCAGATTGGGTTGGTTGTTCCTGTATAGTAGTTGACCGTGGTGTGATGTGTAGGACAGTAGTCAGTAAATAGATCTTCGAGCATGATTTGAGCTGGGAAATTAGTTAGATTGGAATGTCGATATGCTATAGGCGCTGCGTGAGGTATCGAACAGGGTCTGAGGCGGGTCTGTTCCGTCTGTTTCAGTGATTTTTTCTGATTTTTCGGTTGTATGTGTTTCCTGTGAAGGAAGTGGTCTGACGACTTGGGTTATCAAACAGGGTCTGAGGCGGGACCGTTGTGTCTGATTCTGCGTTTTTTGTGATTTTCTGGGTTTATGTTTTCCTTGCGTAGGATGTGGTCGTATGACGAGAGGTACCGAACAAGGTCCGAAGTGGGTTTGTTCCATTGTTTTTTTTGGATTTTCTGATTTTTCGGTCTTATGGTTTTCTTGCACTAGGAAGTGGTATGACTACAGGTCTGCAGGACCTTGTTACCCGGCCAATCAGGAAGTTGGACCCTGGTTTTGTAGTCTTTTGCGGGCCGCAAGGTCCGAGTGTTTTTTCCCCAGGAACCAGCCGATTTACCTTTGAAGTGGTGTGTTGGACACTAGGCTACCCGGCTATGTTTAGCCGAGAAGCCTAGTGCTATTTTGGAACGGCACGAACTATAAGAAGATACTAGTCGTAGTTAGTTGTCCTTTTGGGTTGGCGGAATGAACGGGGGTTCTTGGGTGTTGTGGTTTGAAGAATGAAAGGGTTTCTACTACGACTTGTCTTTGTGTGGTTTGGGCGCATTGTGCGCCACTGTGTGTACTGCTCTACAGTATCCATCTCACATACTCACATACTCAATCCTTGAAAATGAGTTTGAAGTCCCTTCTGAAGGATTCCTCCCTTTCCCCTTCTCCCGAGTCCTGACCATATTACCTCCCCCAGGTTCCTTTCCCAAGTACCCCCGAGCCAGTCCATAATAAAGTTCTAGATTGCCTTTTGGGTATCTTTTTTTTTGTTAATAATTACGTAGTTTGGATATAACTGTTGCCCATTGGGCTCTACTTTCTGTTTGTACATATTGGACAATTTGTTCAATCATCTCTGGTCCCTCCAAATTTACTTCTTCATGAACAAAAACACACCTCTTATACTATGGTGTCCATAATTGAATTGAAAATTGGATAGCTCTAGGTCCTTTGGAACCCAACATCCGAAGAGGATATCCTTCCAATCCCAAGGCGAATCGAGATCCGTTAGTTCTCGCCATGTGCAGTCGTACCTGCGCAATGTTAATACTGAACCGGGGCATTGTATAAAAATGTGCTCTATGGTTTCTCTACATTTTCCCTCTGGGAAGGTGAACAAACAAAAACTGCAGCATGGGGATGCTAAACCTCTTTGTTCCAAGAAAGAGTGGTCAATAA